CCGCCGAACAGCTGATGAATGCGAGGCCTGGAGTACAGCCGAAAGATGCTCACGGGACTGGAAGGCTGCAGCGCTGCAGCTCCCATTGTCCCTTCCTTCCTTCCTTGTTCCTCGTTCCTTCGTCCTGTGCTATGCCGCCCAGACCCAGCCTGGTTTTGGCAGGCAGCAACACATCACGGCCCTGCCTGTGCGCGCGCAAAGGCAGAGGAGAGCGCACAGGCAGGGCGGGGATGTGGCCGGTTCACCTCCCATTTTCAGGCACGTACATTACGAACTGGCTACTTCTCCCAGTCATTTTTCCCCTGAAGCAGAGAGTCGGAGAGCTGCATCACTCTCGCCGTTTGGGCCCTCTACTTTTACGCTCTGGGAGCAGCTTGCTTTTCAAACCTCCGATAATTAACGGAAGGGGAAACCCGCTGCAAAGGTGCACCTCCCGAAAAGATGAGGGGGGGAAAGAAAGGCAATCAGTTAACCAAGAGCCTGGCTGTTTCAGACTTTAAGCCTGCGACAGAGGCCCAAGCAAAGAAGGCGATCCAAGAAAAGGGGAAAAAAAACTGCTTTCCTTTTCAGCAAAAGTTACTTTTCCAAAACTGCCTTAAATGAAGAAGTGACTTTCCCCCCCCCTCTAATAATTGACTTTCTCCTGGCTTCTCCAGCCTTCCCGGGCAGGAAGAGATCAGCCCCGACCGGCTTTTGTTCCCCAAAGACTAAAGTCGATTGCTCGCTTGTCTGATCCAAGGGGCGCAGGGGCACCCCAAGACCCGCTCCAGGCCCCCACTAAGCCACGATTCCCGGTTTGTAGAAAAGTTGGGGTGGAGGGGAGAAAGGCGATCAGTCAGCCAAGAGCCCGGCTGTTTCAGACTTTAAGCCTGTGATACAGGCAACGGCGTGCGCTTCTCCCAGCCCGGAAGGGGCTATCAGGCTAGCGCTTGTGAAGTAAGAAGAGGGAGGGGAAGGGCGATACGGATCCCGCTGACCTGCGTGCACGAGAAGAAGTCAATCCGATTGCTGCATAATGAGTCCCTGGGGAGGGCGGGGCCTTGCTCTGCACCTGCGCTCTTTGCGCGCCCTCTGCAGAGCACGTTCGGTAGGGTTTGTGCAGGCTGCCGCCAAGCAGCATGTTTTCCACAAACAAATGAGCTGGGAAGGAGCAGAGTGGGGGGGGGAGGAAAGTGACGCCGGGGGAGGGGGGAGGAAGGCGACGCCGCGTACCACCAGCCAGGTGGTCGCGTACCACCAGTGGTACACGTACCACCGGTTGAAAAGCCCTGCTCTAGTATATTGATGCAAGTTATTATAGCAGAATCTTCAAAGTCTAACACAGAGGCCCCCAACCTTTTAGGCACCAGGGACCGGTTCTGTGAGGAGAGGTTTTTCCATGGACCGCAGGGGGCATGGTTTCGTATGCTGCCTGTATCCCATGGATGGGGCTTCATTTGTTTGCACGGGCCAGTTTCTGGCATGCTGGGGCCTGGTGCCGGTCCATGGACCGGGGGTTGGGGACATCTGGTCTAACATACTGTCTTCCCATTTTATCAGAGAGACTCAAGGGGAGGCAACTTTAATTTTTTTCTCACACTTTCTTGTTTTCCCAGACTTAGCTCACGTTTTCCTAATAGTCTCTTTCTCATAGGTCATCCCTCTGGTCCTTTACAAGGATGGGTAATATTTTGATACTTAAATCTTTTTAGAAGACGGGATCAGAATTTGTGAGGCAGTGTTAATGCAGATGCCATATATCCACATGACCATTTTTCTGTGATTTTCTTTTTTAATTGCTTTATCTTTATAGTTGGCTAAGTGATAAGAAACAATATTGTGACTTTTGAATTAACAGAATTGTAAAGACTGCAAAAGTTGAGTGAAGACTAGTTTTTCACTCATGATCTTGGAAGATGGCAGGTTGTATTTCCAAGCCTAAAAGGTTATTTGCACCATCCAATAACAGGTTACCGGTATCTTGGGAGGAGAAGAACTTAGATCTTATATCTAGTGGGCGTAATCAGCATAGAAAGCAATAATACATAGCACAATTGTTGGGTATGTTTATTGAGTCAAAGTTTGAATACAGTTGTCCCTTTAATATATTTCTCTATTCTGGCATATCTAATTGGAGATACAAATTGTTGGCCAACATGATTTTTCCCACTATTATAATTAGGTTATTTCAATTAATAATCTGACAATTCCCAAACATCTTTTAATTCCTTGATTTTCTAATGTTGAAAAGATAACAAGAAATAACAGTTAAAAAAGCAAATAAAACAGAAAACTATAGAATGTTTTATATTTTATACAGACCCTTATACACTTCACATACTTTTCACAGTTTACATATAGAATTTCTCTTTATCTTCAATTACAATGATAATGAGAAAATAACTTTGCAACCAATGCTTGCATTTACGACTGTAAAGCAAAGGGTCTGTAAAGCAAAGGGAAGTGAAGTAAGATTGTAAGCACAATAACAGTTTCACTTGGCGACTGCTTCACTTAATGACTGAGTTGCTGGTGCCAGTAGCACCCCTAAACAAGGATTATTTGTAATGCAATCCTATGCTCTTCTATTGAGAATTAAGCTTCAATGGATTTTATATTTAGGCAAGTGTCTTTAAGATGACAGCCTAATGCTGCAGTTCTGTCAAAGGGTATCACAAATGCCCATAATGAATGTGATGTAATTAGATAATGTTGTTATGTATTGAGGTTTACTTGGAAACTGTTGGAAACGGCCAAAAGGCTGCACCTGTTTAAGCTCCAGACTGACTGTCTACATGTTAATTAGCTTGTCTTTAAGAGGGAAATACTGCTTTAATTCTATTGGCTGCCGCCTAGTGGTGAGCTGTATAAATAGTGGTTAAGCAGCAGTTAGGGCTGCTTCTGTTGTTAGCTGAATAAAGAGTTGTTGCACCATTCGCCTCGTCAATGCCTCACCGAACTGGAAACATAACAGTGGCGACGAAGGTGGGATGTGCTGCGAAGAAATAAAGAGCCAAAAGTCACTAGCCTTAGTGCCCTGGTAGGAACTATGTTCCCTCCCTCTGCCTGCCAGCAAGCAACGCTGGAGGCCAACGCCTGAGGGACCCGTCCCCAAGACCACCAACAGAAGCCTTAGCAGCACAAGGCATTGCGAGGTCAGAGACAATTCACCATGGCCAAGCTCAGAAAATTGTTGGAGTTCGATGTGTCGCATCCCAAGAGGTGGAGCTCTTACATTTCGGGAGTTGAAAACTACCTGAGAACTAACCAAGTTAGCAAAGACGGCTTAAAGGCCGCAACACTGCTGTGCGTGTGCGGCCAGGCGACATTCAATATAGCCAAAAATTTAATTGCTCTAGCTTCGCTTGAAACAGTCGCCTACGCTGAACTCAAGAAAATGCTCAAGGAACATTTTGAACCGAAGCTCTCTGTCATTGTCTGGAGGCACGCCTTCGAACAAAGGGAGCAACAACCAGGAGAGTCTGCCGCTGAGTTCATAGCTGCCCTACGATAGGCGTCCCGGCTCTGCAATTTCCAAGACCTCGAAGAGAGACTGAGAGACCGTTTAGTTTGCGGGTTGAGGAACAGGGATTTTCGGCAGAAGTTGTTCACGAAAGAGACCTTGTCATTCCAAGACGCCCTAAAGGAAATCATGGCTGAAGAAGCCGCCGGGGGAGCCGTAAAAGCCTTACGGCCCTCCAAGAACACTCCCAGCCCAGCAACCGTCCATGAGGACGCAGAAAAAGGCGAGGTCCCTGACATGGACCATAAAATCGATCGGCTGCAGAAGCCATCTGCAAGAGTTCAATGGCCACTTGACAAGGAAGTTCCCTTCACTCAATGTATGGACTGTGGAGGTCGACATAGACGCTCGGAGTGCAGATTCTGCACAGCAATGTGC